CTCCTCCTCCTCCTCCCCCTCCTCCTCCTCTTCCTCCTCCTCCTCTTCCTCCTCCTCCTCCTCAAGAACCACTCTGACCCAAGCCTGTGCTGGGTCCAGGGTGCCCCTGTGCTGGACCAGCGTTCTGCTGTGCTTTCTTGAGCGCCCCATCCGAGACGAACGCAGGGGTGCTCGGTCACTGGGCGCTACGGGCCCCGCCCGTCCCGCTTGGTGGGTGGGTTCTTTTGCCGCACGCCAGTCATGTCAGTGCTCCTTGCTTTTGCGCTCTTCCTGGTGGTCGACTCGAAGATGATCGTTGAAAACAATTCATCGGCAGCGCTCGGCGAGGAGCGCTTTACCACTTCTCGTTGTCCGTTTTCACCTACGGCAGTCTTTGGAGTGTTGCGGTGTCAGCACTTTGGTGTGCGTGGTCCTCGCGCTCAGGTGCCTACCCATCTCGCTACACCGCCTCCATCTACGGCTTTCGTGGCTGGCCTTCTTGCTGTGCTTCTTCGGCTTCGGGTTGGACGTGGTGCTAGGCAGCGTCGCCTTCCCTGCCCCGCTTTCGCTTCCTGGGGTCGTGAGGGTGGATCTGCTGCCGGGCATGCTGGGCGCGTCAGGCGCTCCAGAGCTGAAGTACCTTCTCAAGAACAAGGTGGCGGACAAGATCGTGACCGCCGTCGGCGTCGTGACGGTGACGGTCAACAACAAGGCGCCCGTCGCGAACTCCACGATTTGGGCGTGCCGCGGCCTGTACATCGTATTCATGTTATTGTGCCTCAGCGGGCGGCCGCCTGGCACTAGTTTCCATGCGATGTAGATGGCGCGACAGTTCAGGCAGTATGCAATGCAGTCGGCCGCCATGTATACCCAGATTCGTTCAACAAGGCTGTTGGAATGTTCCCATTCTTTCCACCGCCGTCTGGCGACCTCGGCGAAGCTCTTGGCCCGCCCGACAGGCTATGGTTGGACCATGGCGATGTCGTTCCAGCTGGTTCGCGTCTCTGTCTGTGGATCGGCTACCCTGAGCAGCCGATCATGAGGCCAGGCGTGATTGATTTTATGCGTGCTACCGCGGCTGGCATTGCTGCTACTTCAGGCGCTAATTTTAAAGCCGGGACCTGCTACTCCTCCCCCTCCCCCTGCTTGGCTCGGGGCGCGGCCCGTGTCCAGTAGGGGAATAGGTGCTCGAGATCGCAGCATGTCTCGCGCCCGCATTCGCAACGCCAGGCCAGTCTCTTCGCCGAGTAGCTCGCCCCCTCCCAGCGGAGGCTCGGCCTCCCACTGCGTCGGCGGTTCTCTGTCGCCCAGGGAGGAGCCTAGCCGTTTCGCGAAGTTCGCCAAGGAAGGGCTGCGCACTCAAGAAACCTTCGAGGAGGCGAGGCGCTGTCGAATCGCTGCTTCACCGTCGCCTTGGCCTGGTAAGCAGGAATCAGTGGCTCGTCTTCCTGCTGGCCCGCCGCCGGCGCGCCTGGTTGAGGCCCGCCGCGCCGAAGAGCGCAGCAGGGCTCCTCGGGCCAAGCTCCACGCAGGGGAAGCCGCGTGTTCGGTGGGCCACTCGCTGATCCTTCTACATGAGACGAATTGGAGGTTCGTCTGTGGGTGGCGCAACAAACGCCTCCCGCGCGGCTCGATCACTATCTGGTGTAGGGCGTGTGAGCACACGGTTTGCGGCGACTGCTACTCGCCGCCTACGCCTCCCAATGAAGTGTCTGCTTTAGTGCAGGCGCAGGAGAGGGGCTCAGCAGCTGGCGGCTCTGCTCCGTCGCAACGCGCGGCCGCTCCCGCTGCCAGACGCATGCCTGCTTCGGCGCGTGCCACGAAGCAGGCCCCAAGGAGGCTGTTGAGGCCCAACTATGATGACGTGCACCCCCAGTGTGCATGAACTGCAAGGGCAGAGCCTGGCCAGGCTTGTATTCGAAATCAGGCAAGTACCATTGCGCCGCTCCCTTATGCCACAACTTCACGCCCGAAGGATGGATGCCGTCCTGCCTCAGGTGCCAGACGAGCGCGTGGGACGGCCAGTGTCGGGGTTTTCCTCGCCCAAAGCGGGCAGGGGCTTCGTCTGCAGATCTTGTTGGCTCCAGGAATGCGCGGATGCAGACCTGCCCAAGTGGCAGCGCTGGTTCACGCGCCGTCAGATCATGCACGGTCGTGCATTCCCCCCCCCCCCCAACCCTCCCATAGGAGGCTCCAACTTTGCCCCGCCGGACTTTAAGGCCTGGCGTGGCTCGGCGCTCCACCGTTTTGGGGTTGCGTGCCCTCCAGGGTCTTCCAGGCTTGTCGTGCTTGCTGCGCGGGTCTCATTTTCTGTTCCCGTCGGTGCATGGCACTTTCGGTGGGCTTTTCTTTTTTCTGGAACATCATTCGCGGGCGCGGCCTGGCTGCGCGTGTCGGTGCCCATCCCCGTGGTGCCGCCTCGGGTTTCGGAGGACACTTCGTTGTTGGCGTGTCTGGTCTTTGGCCTTTCGCTGATGAGCGATCGCGCGGTGCGTCCAGGCTTGGGCACTTGTAGTTTGTGCGGGACATTGCGTGGCCACGGCGGCATTGCCCTGATTGTAGTCCTGGAGCCTCGTATTTTGAGCGGATGCCGCGCTTTCTTTGGGGCGCGGGGTGTAGGCGCAGGCCTCGCCCAGCACGGCCTTTTTTTAACGTGCCCTCACGGGGCTCTTTGGCTGGGGTGAGGCTAGCCCATCGTCCTGGCGTTTTCTACGCCGGGGATTGGGCTTGCTGGTTCGCCCTGGCGTCGCCTAGGGCCTAGGGTGCATCGCATAGTTGTGCGCGCGTGTGCGCGCGCGCTTTGCGCGAGCGTCTGGCGCCCTTTCTTGTGGGGGAGGTGCGTTGCACGTACATCTCGGAACTGCCTTCGCTGCGCCCACGCTCCTTGCAGGCTCGATCTGGGTTTTGTCTCTGGCAGGTCGGCGGTGCTGGCGTCTCGCTGCCAGCCCTGGTGCCCGACCTTTGGGATTCCGCCAACCTGGAAAAGCTGGCCATCCTTCTCACTGCAGTGTGCTGTTTGGCTTGCCCCTGGGGCTTGGGCTCGGGGGTGGACTGGGTAGCCAGTCCGCCTTTGTTCCGCCCTGGCCCTCCGCTGGGGTCGCTCAGGGGGGCTGGGCGTTCGATCTGGTTGGCGGTGCTGGTTGCGCAGCCAGCAGTAGAAACCGAGCTTGAAGGTCCCGTCTGCCCGTAGTCGCCTTTTTCCCCTTCTATTTTTTCTTTAAGGTTTGTGGTTGTCCCTGTTGCACGGCTGTGGTGCTCTTGTGGGCCTCCACGGTGACTGCTGCGCGGGGGCAGCCCACGTTGGTCTCTTGGGCACGGGGGCGGATCTGGTATGCCAGTCCGCCCCGTCGTGCATTGTCTCTGGCATGTCGGCCAGACAGTGAGCCCCTTTTCTCAACAGTGGCCCTGTTGTTGGCGTCCGAGCCGCGGGTCGATCCGTGCGGGGAGGGGGCCATAGTGAGCGGTCCGAAACGGCGAAGCCCCTTCCCCATAGCGGCTCTCGCCGAGGCGAGGTCGCCTACTTCTCAGAGCTGGCAGGTCCCGCACTGCCACTTGCTTGCACTATGCGGTGGGCCCGTGGAGGTCAAACATGAAAAATATTCCTCCTCCTCCTCCTCCTCCTCCTTCCTCCTCCTCCCTCCCGAGGCCTCCACCGGTGGCAGTCGTCCTGGGGGGAGGGGGCAGCCGCGCGAAGCTCGGGGGGCGCGCCGGGGGCGGGCGGGGCGACCGGCGTCGTGGGCCCCCCGGGGGGCACTCCTCGGGGGGGCACTCCTCGGGGGGCCACGGCCGGAGGCCGTTCGCAGGCCTGCTGGGATGACCGTGGGGGTTTCTAAGTGGATAAGGGGGGTTGCAAGTGGATGCCAAGGCGGGTTATATCTGGCCGAAGTTGGCTTATAAGTGGGTTACAAGTGCCCCGAGTGGCTGAGGGGGGTTCACGATCCAGGCGAAGTGGGCTCCGCCCACTTAGCGGAGTTATCAAACCCCTTTAAGCCAGTCGGAGAACTTGTAACTCACTTATAAACCAGGTTCGGCCAGATATAACCCACCTTGGCATCCACTTGTAGCCCCCCTATCCACGTAGAAACCACCACGGTCATCCCAGCCGCCCTTGGAGATGCGCCCAGACCCCCTCGAGCCACGAACAAATCGTGACGGAAGGTTTTTCGCTATCTGCGGCCTCGGGGGGCCCCTTACCGTGCCTCGGGGCCGTCAAGAAACGGGAAAACGGTCCCGGAAAGGGGTCGAGACCTCTGGGGGTCGACGCCATGAACAAAAATCATGACGTCGGGGTTTTGGGAGGCCGGGTCCCACACGGACCTGTTGGTCGGGGGTGGCGCTGCGGGTGGGCGAGCGTCCAGGGAGGCCTCGGGCGCCTCAGGGGGGCCTCCTGCCCTCCGGAGGTGTCGGCTCTCATCGGCCCCCCCAACCCTTGATGTTTGTGAGAACCCCCGGCCCCCTTCGAGGGCACGATGGCGCACCTGGGGGCCCCAAGCGGTGTCTCCCAGTCCCCGAGCCCCTCGTAATCATGAAAACCCCCTGCCCCTTAAAAGGTCCGCCGCCGCCGCCGCCCAAGAGGGTCCAGAGGGCTCGCGAGCTGTGAGTGCGCGGGCTCCTCGGCGCCGCCCCGGGGAGCGCGTCGCAGCCAGGGGGCTCTTCGATGCTCCGAGGGGGGCGGCGCAGGGGCACGCTGAGCTGCTCGGGGGCCCCATCCAAGCGGTGCGGCGGCCGCGCCGTGTGGTAAGCCAGTGGGGGTGCGGGGGGGCCGCGCGGCTTCGGGGCGCGGGTCGCCCTCCGAGGATGCTCATCGGGCGACCGGGGGCCTTCAGGACCTCAGCGGCCGCGCGGTGCCGGACCGTGCGGGGAGGCGTCTCTGTGGGGGTCCCGAGGCCACCGCACAGCCCGTGACCACACCGAGGCCTGCTCGGAGGTCGGCCCAGATGCCCCCCCTCCCCGAGCCTCGTGGCCACCCCGAAACCCCGCCAGCGCACCGCCCGGTGCAGCCCCCGCACCGCTGGGGGGCCGCGGATCATCCCGCGCTTTTGGCGCCATGGCATGTGGGCAGCTGCTCTTCCGCGGGAGGTCGGTGGCGCAGGGGCGCCACGGGCGCGCGCACTTCGTGGCCGGTCGCGCTGCGCGGCTCGGCGCGCGGCGTGCCGCCTCGGAGCGGTGGCGTCGTCGACGGGGCGCCTCGAAGTTGTGGCCTCTCTTGCGCGGCGCGCGGGCGGGCCGCTCGCCCTCGCGCGCGCGCCTGGCGCTGCGGGCCGTCGTGGCCCGATAGCGCGTCGCGCTCTTCTGCCCGCGCGCCTCGCCGCAAACCCGGCTCGGTGGCGGCAGCGGTGCCTGCGTCGGGGGCGGCGCAGAGGGGGCGATGGCCAGGGGGGGTGGATCTCATGGCGGGGGCCATGGTTCATTGGTCCGAAAGATACCCGTACCCGGGGCCAGCCAAGGTGAGATGGGCCGTCCGGGGGACTGGGCGCTTGCTATTGTGCCCGGTCAGATTGCCCCGCGCGCGCCATTGCAGCATCCGCGCGTCAAGACGCAACGGCGCGCTCGATGGTTGGGTGTCTGATTGCAGCGACACGCGCTGGTTTTTGTTAGGGACGTCTCGGGGCATCGTGGTGCGCGCGCGGTTCCAAGCCGCCCATATGTGGCGGCGCCTGCCGCAATCGATAAAGAGATGCATGTCCTCGCTATCCTGGCAACCAATGCGTCTGGGCCTGCCCTGAGGAACGACGTTGCAATGTCGCGCCCCCCAGGGGGCCGCAGCGGCCACATCGGGGACGGCTCTGGAGGGCATGATATGTGCTCGAGAGCGTTTTGGGCTTGCCGCCACCTCGGCTAGGTACGGGGTCCTGCCTGAAACCGCCGAAACATACCCGGACCTAGTTGGGGTGAGCTGCGGCACCCCGGCTAGGTACGGGTTTGTTTTTTGGGTTTTCATGGGGCAACCGTACCTAGCTGGGGCGATCCGCAGACGGCCGTCCAAGGGGGGCGTCCTCTGGCGACCTCGCCCAGGGCACAGATTCGCGATGTCTCTGCATCGAGCAATTCGCGATAGGGCGGTTGTCGCGCAATGACGTTCGCGCCAGAGTTGTTCGCATGCGCCCCCGAGTGCGCGTTGACTCCTCAACGCCCGGATGTGTGTCTGGGGGCGCGCCTCCGCAGTAGCTGGTCTACATCGACAACAACCAACCCAGGGTCGGGCACTCCGCCGATTCGAACGCACGCGCGATCGGTGCTAACGTGTGCCCCGAGAAGACAGCGGTCTGTAATGCTCGATCGGCTGTCGTTTCTACACTTGTGCAGCCGCCGTCAGCTGCGACGAACCGCCCCCCCGGCCCCTTGCCACCCTGTCTAGGTAAGGGTACGGGTATCTTTCGCGCTCGAGAGTGGTATCGCCCCAGATCTCATGGAGCCTCTTCTCATCTCGATGCGTTCCCTGGCCCACCGCTGGGCCGCGCACGTGACGCTCGCCATGATCTGCGCCCCCCTCCCCTCTCCGACGCCCCCCCCTTGGCTGACCCCGACTGCGTAGGCGCCGTGCCAAGGGCTGGCGCACGGCCTCTGTGCTGCGCGGCCCGGTGCTCTGCGGGGTGGCCAGGGCGCGACGACAGGCCGGGAAGGAGTGCAGACATCGCAAGGCGTGGGTCCCAGGGCCCATCAGGACCTATGCGATATAGACCCCAGCGGAGAGAGGGCTTCGCCCACCAGCCCGTGGCGGATAGCGAACCTCGCGACAGCGAACTTCGGGCTCTCGATCACGGCCAGGGTGGGGGCGGGAGGAGTCCGCCCAGGAGTGCGTAAGGCTGGTGCTCGAAGAGGTCGGCCGCGCGGTGGGGTGCAGCCCGCGCCGCAGCTGCTTCGCGGCGCCCATCTCCTTCCCGCCGGGTCCTGGGCTGCTTGGGCGCCCCACGGCGCGGGCCCCCGATCTCGGGCGAGAGCCGACTCGGCTCGCTTGACCGAGGTTTTTTCTGCGGGAGGTCATGGGGTGGGGGTCGCTCGGAGGCCTGGCGCCGGGGTCCGGGGATTGGACTTCGAGCAGGGGGTCGACATCAGAACCGATCTACCCCGGAATCTATTTTTCGCGATGATCAGCCACGAAGCATACGCAGAGTGTTATGTAGGTATTCGGCGAAAAGACAAGTCTTGGGTGCGCCGATTCTGTAGCCGATCCCCTGCTCGAGGAGTGGTGTGCGGGGGATCTGGAGGCTTATGATGTTCCAACCTACTTATAGCCTCGATCACCAAAAACAAGTTCGAGCACCAAGAAAGTACCGAAACTGGAGGGTTTTCGCGTGCAGGGCCCTGGGAGGCGATGCTCGTTCGACACTGTTTCGATTGTGAAGGCCTGACGGCCGGTGCCGCCGACCCTGAAAGACATCGACGACGACCAGGAGGGGGAGGAGGAGGAGGAGGAGAAGGAGGAGGAGGAGGAGGAGGAGGCGGAGATAGTGAGGAGGAGAAGGAGGAATCATACTAATGACAATAATAAGCATCATAATAAGAAAACTAATACTAATACTCCTAAGACAACTAATGTAACTAATAATGACAATACGAATACTTCGACGAATAGAACTATTATTAATAATACTAATAATAACAATAAGAATACGAATAATAATTCAATAACAATAAGAATAACAATAAGAAACTAACCAGAAGAAGAAGAGGAGGATGAGGAGGAGGATGCTGAGGAGGAGGAGGGGGGGGAGGTTTGCGGTGGAGGAGGAGAGGAGGTAGGAGGGGGAGGAGGGGGAGGAGGAGGAGGAGGAGGAGGAGGAGGAGGAGGGGAGGAAAAGCAGAAGAGGAGGATATGGAGGATATGGATATGGATGATGATGATGATGATGATGATGATGATGATGATGATGATGATGATGATGATTGATGATGATGATGATGATGATGATGATGATGATGATGATGATGATGATGATGATTGTGATGCTGATGCTGATGCTGCTGCTGATGCTGCTGATGATGATGATGAGATGATGATGATGATGAGGAGGAGGAGGAGGAGGAGGAGGAGGAGGAGGAGGAGGAGGATGGGAGGAGGTGGTGAAGGACGAGGGGAGGAGGAGGAGGAGTGGGATGGCAGCGTTCTACTTGGACACCGATGCCACCAGCTGTCAGCTGTCAGCTGGCAGGAGGTGAGGAGGAGGAGGAGGAGGGAGGAGGAGGAGGAGGAGGAGGAGGATCAGGTAGAGGATCAGGAGGAGGACGAGGAGGATGAGGAGGAGGAGGAGGTGGTGAAGGAGGAGGAGGAGGAGGAGGAGGAGGAGGAGGAGGAGGAGGACGAGGACGAGGACGAGACGAGGAGGAGGAGGATGAGGGGGAGGAGGAGGAGGAGGAGGAGGAGGAGTAGGAGGAGGAGGAGGAGAGATCCCCGTCATTGATGTTTGCCGAACGTACAAGGGAGGAGGGGAGGAGCCCCCCCTCTCGCTTCAACCTCTCTGCCCCTGGCGCGGGCCAGCCCCGCCCGGCCCCTCGAGGCGGCGCCGCCGCGCCAGCGGCGATGGAGGGCGGCCCGGAGGCCGCGGCTACCCCGGGGGGGAGGGGCCGTGCGTGTCGTAATGGGAGGGCCCCCGATGCGAAAATTGCAGGAAGCGGGTCCTAAGGGGGGATTCGGGGCTAGGGGATTCGGGGCGAGGGGATTCGGGGCGAGGGGATTCGGGGATTCGGGGCGAGAAAGAAGCTGGTCCTGAGGGGGGATTCGGGGCGAGGGGATCGGGGGGGGGGGAGAGACGACCGCAGGTGCGGGGGAGATTGCAGGGGAAGGTTGCAGGGGTCGGGGATCGAGGGCTGCGGGAAGCGGGTCCGAAAGGGCTCCCCCCCCCCCTGGGCCCCGCAGGTGTACGGAAGGTGCACCTCTCTCCCCGACCTCCCCCTGTCTGCAGTCAACCCGCAAAGGAAGGACGAGTGACTTTCCCAGGTTGCCCCTGCATCCCTCCCCTGAGGCCCATCCTGGGCCGCTTTCGCTGGCCGGCCCCGTTCGGCAAGCGTCAGCGTGGCCTTCCAGGGCCTCGGCATCCCTTGTCGCGCGTCCTTAGCACTGCACGGGTTGACTGCATCGCCCCCCCACTGAAGCAGCGCCCGAGAGGGAGTGGGCGGGGTCGGGCACCCCTGCTCCAGATTCATATAGCTTTCAGTCGGGCCTGCCCCCCTACATGGGGGAATAATCAAACATAGTCAAGAGATAGTCTGGGGACGATGTTTTTTGGTACTCATCTGTCTGGGACGATGGTCAAAGGAATAGTCAAGGAATAAACATAGTCAAGGAATCGTCTGGGGACGATAGTGGGCATTTTAGTTGGAGCATTTGGTGTGTATCTTTTATTTCTCGTCCGCAGCAGCGCGCGCGCACTGCGCGCGCCCGCTTCGGCGCGGCCGGCGGAGCCGCCCGCCCGCCTGGCCGCCCGCGGAGTCTTGCCGGGGCCTCCGCCCGACACCTGTGCTCTCCTCGGCCTCGGTGTCCGAGCCTGGGCCGGGCATCGACAGCACCCTGGCATCGCTCGGACGTGTGCATTTTTTCCTCGGCGAGGACCTTCGAGGAGCATCCTCGACCACTTGGCGAAAAGACTACGCACGAAACCGAAAACACACACAGGAAATGGACGTCCGAGCGATGGCCAGGACGGTGGTCAGTGCAAACGGGGGTCAGCCAGAGCGCCGGATCTTGCAGCATCCTGCAGGGCCAGGGGCGCACTGCCCCGGGTCTGGGTGCAGGATCCTGCAGGACCCCGCAGGATCGTTCGCATGGACCCGGGTCTGGGCGCAGGATCTTGCAGGATTCCGCAGGGCGACTGACCAGGGTTTGGATTGACCTGGGTCAGAAGATCCCCGATCGGCTACTCGCAGGGGGGGGGTCAGGTGTTAGGGGGTAGGATTCTTGGAAGCGCCCCTGCTGCTTAGAAGGCGCGGGCCTCGTCTACGGATGTGGGCGAGCGCCTTCCGAGAAGCAGGGGTGCTTCTAAGAAGCCTTTCCCCCTCCCCCTGACCCCCCTTCTGCGCGCCGCCAAATCTGGCGCGGGGGTGAAGAGTCAAGGGAGGATAAAACCACCCAGACCCGATAATTGGCGTTTGCTAAACGGCCCTGGGCGTTTACTGAAAAGCCCTACCTTGTTCGATTTCTTTTCTGGGTTCGTTTGCTGAACGGCCTTGCTTGTCGGGGTGGTTCTTGTGGGGGTGGATTTTTTGTGGAGGAGGAGGTGGGGGAGGAGGAGGAGGAGGGCGGAGGAGGAGAATGATGATGATGAGGAGGAGGCGGAGGTGGAGGAGAAGGCGCAGGAGGATAAATTGTGGGGGTGGATTCTTTGCCCGCTAATGAGCAGCCCTGGCCTTCGAGACTCCCCTGGCGTGTTCTCCGCTGGGGGCCGCTTCTCCGCAGGGCCTGAGGCCGTTGGCCGTGCGTTGCTGGCGCTCTCGCTGCGCGCTCTCGTGGCCACGCTCGGGCAGGAAGTGCCCATCGGTCGTTGATCGGCGTCACCCCAACATGTACTTTACGATGTGTGCGTCTCGCCCCCCCAAGGGGCGACGCGCGCACCGAGGAATCTTCTAGTACATGCGTCGTGGCGGGCGCTTTCTGGCCACACCGCTCGGGAACTGATGTGCTACAGGATGGGTAGACGATATGTTCGGGCCAGACGCGCGCCTCCAAGGAGGACATAGTATTAGTATGCCTCTGTGCGTCCCAGTTGACAGTAGGTACGTTTTGGTGGGCCACTTCTCTCCACCACCACTACCATAGGTAGGACGGGGGAGAAGGGAGGATCACAAGGTCCCCCTCCTCCTGCTCCTTCTCCTGCTGCTCCTCCTCCTCCTCCTCCTCCTCCTCCTCCTCCTCCTCCTCCTCCTCCTCCTCCTCCTCCTCCCCCTCCTCCCTCTCCCACCCATTGTAGTGGTGGTGGTGGTGGAAAATCAGCCCCCGGTACAGTCAACCCGAGTAGTAAGGATGAGCAATTTTCTCAGATGTCCCTGTATCCTTCCCCTTCAGCCCAGCCCTCTATCCTTGGCCGCGTTCGCTGGCCGCGCCCCGCTCGCAATGCGTCGACGTGGCCTTCCAGGGCCCTGACATACTCATCGTGCGTCCTTGTTCTACGGGTTGACTGTAAGGGCTCCGGCCCAGGGTTGTTCTATTTCAATTTGCTAGCCAAAGGCCCACCACCAGAAGGATGTCGGGCAGCAGGCGCCGGAATTGGACACGTGAAAACATACGTGTGCGGAGGGGGGGGGTCAACATGGGTCTCAGCACGCGTGCGTTCGGTCAGTGTTCTCACATGCTTCTGGCTACGACGGCGCGGCAGGCGAGGGACCCAGTTCGGGCCCTCCAGACCCTTGACACGTGCAGATACGTGCGCGGAGAGGGCGAACCAACATGCGCCTGGCGCGTGCGCGCAGGGCATGCATTTTCACGCGTCCACAGGCTCTATGGGCAAGTCCCAACCTGGGCGCATCGTATCCTTTACGCATGAAACTGTTTGCGCGGAGGGGGGGGACCCAACATGCGCCTGGCGCGCGCGCGGGGCACGTGTTTTCACGTGTCCACGGGCGCCAGTGAGGAAGCCAGCTTGGGCGCGCTGGATTCTTTACGCGTGAAGATGCGTGCGCGGAGGGGGGGACCCAACATGCGCCTGGCGCCTGCGCGCGGGCCATGTCCACGGCCCCCAGGGGGGGACCCACTTTGGGAGCGTCGGCTTCTTTGCGCGTGAAGATGCGTGCGCGGTGGGGGGGGGGACCCAACAGGCGCTCGGCGCGTGCGTGCGGGGCATTCTTTTCACGTGCCCACGGCACCGAGGACGTGCAGGGGATAGTGGTTGCAGCCAGGCACAAAGGGAACATGTTGCACGCGCGTCAGAAAAATAAGTTTGACTCAAGTTCCTCACCGGGTCTTTGGATCCCTCAAGACGGATTCCCAGAAATCAATCTGCGTTAGGCGCCGTCCTAATTCAACAGGATCAATGGCTTGAGTCCATCCTCTTCAAATCGCGGGCGGAAGCCCAAGGTGCTTTCAGCGCCTTCCTCCTTCATGTCTCTATCCACTCCTCACGACTGGTGTGCACACGTAAGGATGGCCCTTCGTTGGCGTGCGGAGTGCCCTTTGGGTGCGGGCTCACTGCGGTCCCCCCCGACCACAGCGCCGCGATGGCAGCGGCTCGCGCGCCCGATTTTGCCTGCCCCCCCCCCTCTGGCGCTTCCCCGAAGCCGAGCACCTGAGCTCACTCTTGCCTGTCCTCCTCCTCCTCCTCCTCCTCCTCCTCCTCCTTCTCCTCCTCCTCCTCCTGGCCGAGGATGAGGAACACTGCTCTCAGAGCGTTCTGGGGCGCCCTGCCACGGCCGTGGCGCCCGACGCATATCCTCCAGGCCTTCCTGCTCGGAGAGAGCCTGACCATCTGCACCTGTCCCCCTGGGGCCTGGGGGGACACCCTGGGGTGATGGGCGCGTGTTCCACCACCACCACCATAAGTTGGAGGGGGGGGTCCTCCCTCCTCCTCCTCCTCCTCCTCCCCCTCCTCCTCCTCCCCCCTCCTCCCCCTCCTCCTCCCCCTCCTCCTCGTTGTCCTCTTCCTCCTCGCCCTCCTCCTCCTTCCCCCCTCCAACTTATGGTGGTGGTGGTGGAAAACAGGCTCATCATGGGAGGGACACCCTGGACGACGACGACGACGACGACGACGACGACGACGACGACGACGACGGCGGCGACGACGACGACGACGACGACGACGACGACGACGACGACGACGACGACGACGACGACGACGGTCGTCGTCCCAAGCCCTCGTCCTGCCTCCGTCTGGCTGGGAGGGAGGACCGAGGCGAGGTATGCGGACCAACGATCTGGCCCTTAGTGGGCCCTGGAAACGACAGGGCCGTTTTTTTACCGGTTCCGTTCTGCCGTTTTTTTGCAGGTTCCGACGCCTTTTTGTTACCGGTTCCGTCGCCGTTTTGTGACCGGTTCCCGCTCCGGTTCCAATCCTGGAGCCGTTTTTTTGCCGTTTCCGGTCGCCGTTTTTTTGACCGTTTCCATTTCCAAGGGGCATTTTGCTGGAAGCGGTGAAAAAACGGCCCTGCCGTTTCCGGGGCCCACAAAGATTTGGCCCATGAGAAGCACCAGTGCGGCCCAGGAGAGCTGGGCCGCTGGGCTGCAGGGCCTCGGTGTGCTTGCGCACTGAGGTTCTTCGGCTCCGCAGTCCTCGCCCACCTCCCTCCCTCCCTCCCTCCCTCCCTCCCTCCCTCCCTCCCTCCCTCCTTTCTCTCTTCCTTCCTCAATCCCCTCGCGGCGTCGACGCTCTGGCGACGACACTCTGCCTTCTGCCCCCATTCCCCGGTTGGGACCACCACAGGCCTCGCCAGTGGTGACCATCATAGGCCTCACAGCCCTCGCGGCTGCCATCATAGGTCAGGAGAGGAAAACACACACAGACACAAATCATCCTCGATTCCCCCGAAAACATGGGAAAATATGGGAAATGGGGGGGAAGATAGAAACCCAGAAACTATGGGAAAGTCTTTTTATTTGTGTGTATTTATTTGTGTGTCCTTGGGCCCGTTCAATAGGGGCTGATTGGGTCGCCCTCTCCCACCAATGCACAAATACACCTTGCCGTCAAGAGGCACACGCGGGGGCCGATGCCCTCTCTACGGCCCCCCCGGCCAGGGAAGCCAGCCGCAGGGAGGGGTGCCACAGTACCGTCACAATTTGTTTGTTTTCTGGGGCCTGCGCGAGGCTGCGATTCTGCACCCTCCCCCCTCCGTCGGGAGAGTGAGCTTGCAGATCGGAACGTCTCGCCTACAGCGGAAGAGTTCCCAGCTCTTTCGCCACCTTCAGGGAGCAGCCGCTACTGGTTCCAATTTGCACATGCGAGCTTTGGGGGGGGGGCCGGCACTTCTTCCAATTTACACACGTGAGCTCTTGGGGGAGCCAGTACTTAATCTGATGTACGAGAGTTCTGGGGGGAGCAGGTTATTATTCCGAACGAAATGAGCTTTGGGGGGAGCACGCGAGCTCCGAGGGCAGCCGGTGCTTATTCCGAGTTACACACGCGAATTCCGGGGGGAGCCAGTACCTGTTCTGATTTACACGCGCGAGCTCCGGGGGGAGCCGGTTATCATGCCGATTCACACATGCGAGCTCCGTGGGGAGCGGGTATTCTTTTCGATTTACACACGCGGGCTCCTGGGGCAACCGGTACATCTTCCGACTTACACACGCGAGGTCATGGTGCTGCCGGTACTTGTTCTGATTTGTACAGGCAGTCCGTATTTGTTCCGACTTGCACGCGAGTTTCAGGAGGGAGCCGATACATATTTCGATGTACGGGACTTCTGTGGGCAGCTGTTCTTCCTTGAGTTCCAGCGAAAAGTTGCCCAGAACCCCAGGGCGGCATCCAGAGAGCAGGCCCACCCCAAACAACTAAGCCACATCCCTGACCTGCAGACCTACCTGAAGGCGCCGACTGCCACCACCCAGCGTCTTCCTGCCTCCAAGGCCCTCCGACAGCTTTCTACTCCCTCCATCATCCTCATCGGCCGCTCGGCCTAAATGGGCTGGGCGCTCGCCTGCAAGGGCTTGACACTTCCCTCCTGGACAGCCGATCCGATCCGATCCCTCGTCCTACCCCCCTCCCTCTCATCCCTCCCTCTTTCCCTCCATCGCTCCCTGCCCCCTCCCCCTCCATCCCTCCTCTCTCGCTCTCCGTTCTCCGCCCCCCCCCCCCGCCGACCGCGGCGCGCAGGAGCGGGTCTCCGCCTGTTTGCGGCGGATCCGCGATGCGCAGGCGCCCGCCGCCGCCCCCCCCCCCCCTCACCCCCTGGCCGCTCCCCGTTCGGCAGCGCGGGCGCGTCC